TAAAAGTCACGAGTGGTGACTCTAGGTATCGATGCCAGATTTAAAAATCGTAGGCCAGCCGTCAAATATTTTTCGAGCAAAACCGAATAGGCGTGGCTATCTCTTTTACGACTTACTAGGCTTCAAAGCGGATCCCGTCTCAAACAAGAGTTATATCGTTTCTCGGGATCCCGTCTACGCCGTCGCGTCACTTGGTCCGTCGGACCGCAAACGCGATACGGGGCGAAACAATGTGACGCAGAGAGATACGCAACGCGCAAAAATTTCTCCGTAATTCACAAACGAACGTACCTTTTTTTAAACCTGCTGCATTCCGAGAAGAATATTTTGCAAAAGATACGCGCGAGGGGCAGCTGCGTCACATTGTCTGCAGTCTTGGCAGTTTCGAAAATAAATATTTCCGATCTCTATTTTATCCCCGCGACGTTTCCGCATATATTATCGGAATAAAACGAGCACGGTAACGCGTTCAAGGATCTTCTGAGAAAAGTAAATTTATTCCCCAATGTACGTGCGATTAAAGTCAGATATCGATACAATTGCACCTGAAGTACGCCAGTTCTCGTGACTTCGGGATTAAATGCGCGTTTTAGATATCAAAATAAATGGCGTCACCCACTCAGCGCGCTGGACACAGATTTCTAATCGCGTTTACGAAATCGAGTTAACGGTTGATTAAAATTTTCACCACACGAGACGCGTTTACGCGTCAAGTTTCTCGCACGACGTGTCCAATTTGTTACGGATACTGATTCGAAAAAAAGAAAAACGATTGTATGCCACTTGCGATTTCCGAGACGCAGAGAGAGAGAGAGAGAGAGAGAGAGAGAGAGAGAGAGCGAGAGAGGCGGGGAGCGTTTGAAGCAGTTGACCTGACGAAAGCCCGAGTTTTCCACCGTGGCCTTCGTGCACGCGTATGTGATAGACCACACGGTGTGTGGCTATATTCGAGGTCCGTGGGAGATACCAACCGATTAATACGCCAGCACGGCTGGCTGCCCCATTAGCTTTGATCGCTCAACACAGGCAATCCGGTACCGGGTGTTCACGCGCGACTTCCGCGCGCGCTCTCGTGCAACGGGTGTTTACCGAGGCAACGTGCTCACTCGAGCGCGAATCTCCTCGTGTACTGACACTTCATTGATAATTTGCATACGCGGCCACCGTCCTACGAAAACTCCGGAGATAAACGCCGCGAAGCCGCGGCGGCGGCGGCGGCGACGTATGCATTCGGCCACGCCAAAGGTCAGAGTTGCGCGGCCGGGCTCGCACACGGAATGCGAAATGTAGCGGGACTCGGGCGATCAAAGCACCGTCCTCGGTTGCACCGAAAATATTTCAAGTAACTAAAGTATCGAGCTCCCTCCCCCTCCCGCCCCCTTGAGCTCCAAGTGCATCCATGCGGAGCACCGATTTTGCCGGTCAAAGAGTGACCTTGCGCGATTTTCGTGCACGGGACGAAACGGCGGGTTCTCCACGTTTGCACGCCATGTTTCGCGTGCACACAGAACGACACGCCTGAGACGAACCTGGAAGAAGCATGTTGGAGAGCGCTTGGTCCCGGGGAAACAATAAACGCGACCTATTTAGCCGCTCGACCGGTTGGCGCGGCTCTTAAATTTAATTGTGAATAACGGTTAATTGCTACGCTTTTAACGGGGCAAACGGCGCTGAAACTAATACTCCTGATGTTGCTATTGACGCGAAACGTTCGCGGGGAAACTTAATAAAACGTGCACGTTGGAATTAAATTCAGCACACGTACGGAAATTGCGTTCTCACGTGAGAATATCGTAAGCGAAATTAATCAACTTGGTACGCACACTTTGCGATCGGCAGATTTGACAATAAAATTATTTTACTGCACTGAGAAAAATGTCCGATTAAATATAATCGGATAATCCAATTACATGATAACAAACGGATATGTCCGATTAAATTGTATATTCGATGAAAAATTTGATCGGTTTTTCAATCAAATTTCATCGGTAATTGCATTTCATCGGATAAATTTCATCGGATATATCCATAATTTAATCGGAAAACGTAGTCGGAAAAATTAACCATCGGACATACTATTTAATTGGTTTATCCGATGAAAATTTTTTCTCAGTGTGATAATATATACACAATAATATGATATTGTTGAATTACAAATAATTACTTAGTGCATTGGGAAAAGTTTTCACCAGACAGACCAATTAAAGTGTTTCCGATGGTTAATTTTCCCGATTACGCTTTCCGGTTAAATTCTGGATACATCCGCTGAAATTTATCCGATGAAATGCAATTACCGATGAAATTTAATTGAAAAAACGATCTTACTTTTCATCGGATATACAATTTCATTGGATATGTCCGTTTGTTATTATGCAAATGGATTATCCGATTATATTTAATCGGACATCTTTCTCAGTGTGGCAATCTATGACATAGTCATATACACGGCGAGAATTTTCTCTTAAAATTTATCCTGAAAATCATGTAATCGTACACTGATAAAAATTTGAACCTCACTTTACTGTG